ATAATAATAATAATAATAATAATAATAATAATAATAATAATGATAATAATAATAATAATAATAATGGCAAAAATAATAACTAATCTTCAAGTTAAAATTATAAGTAAGGAAACATTTAATGTAACTTGAGAAGTATATTATTTGATTCCGGAATAATATTTGCTCATTCCGGAATAACACTATATTTATTAGCTCCTCCTTCCTCTCTTTCCTGATATCTATATGTTTGCATTCGTAATGATTATAAAGAAAAAACTCACTTCTGAAATAACAGTACCATTATAGACTGTGTATATTCCGGACAGATATGCCAAATTAGTAGCCAAAAAACAGAGTCCAAACACAACATATAACAGTACACCAAGAGTAATTGCAAAATGACTTTCGTTGTTTCCGTAGATATTAACTAAAAAATGCGTTTTAAAGTAAGATGAGACTAATTTCCTATCGTTTTATGCAATACCAAAATTAACAGTGACAAATTGAAGTGATGACAATAGTTGAAGTGTTTCTAGTAAAAGTTGAGTTATGTTAAGAAAACCTGTAAATGGATGATACTCATGCTTTTCCTGCTTATTTTCATGAACAGATCGTTTCCAAATTCGTAATCCTAAACGTGATCGTCTTTTAAAGCAAAACAAATCCACTCTCGCTAATCCATAAGTAACTCTGGTAGCATTATTAAAGTATGTGTCACCTCGACATCTCTTCCGCTACAATATTTTTTGCGATGAAATAAAACCGATGAAATAAATAGAAAATATATAGTAATTATAATTAACCATGGCTTATTGGATTTCTGATAAATCATTTTTCGTTGCTGATCAATCATTTATCACATATTGTTGAACTTATATTAGGATATTTTACCGGATCCATTAATTCGGTGTAACTATATGGCATAACCCATGCTATCACATTCGAATTGTTCCTTCTTACTTCGACACTTGCGCCAAATACCATTTTAATCATTTCATTACACGAATTTGTTCTACTAACGATGATAAAGATCTTCTTCGTTGCTTCCACTCTCACTTTCGAATATTTGCAATTGTTTAATCGATTTATCAGTGATATCTGTAATTTTAATATTATGTCAATGACATGCTGTGATTTCTTAGGGTCACGAAATACTGAGAGTAATACAATGATTTGTTGAAAAAAATCCAATCGTATTCTATTATCAAGGAACTCGTTGTTCTTTTGCAAACGGAACAGCAAATGTAATTTTTAAATTTAAATTTCAAATGCATACATTATTATACCAATGCTGTTGTATGAAAAGTGATAAGTGATACGGATTGATTTGATTTGATCTTAGCTGTAATATCAATAACAGAGCAATGACGATCACTTGATACAACCACATTCCAGCAAGCCCACTTCGCCATACTATAATCGCTCCTATGTTCGAGTGATATAAAAACATTTTGAATTCCAATTAAATTATCGTAATTTTAGGATATTGAATACATTAACATTGAAATGCATAATTTTCACACAAAATTTGCATACTGAATTCAATTCAAATCCTATATCTTTTATTTGTTATGGTTAATTCGACATACCTCCCAACGTACAGAACATTTTAGTCAATGACAATATGGCACGCATAACAAAGTTGCCATTTCATCGATTCATCGCATCTGAGTAGACAAATGAGGACTCATACCAGTGAGAAGCCATTCTCTTGTTCGAAATGCAAGGAAAATTTCTCCCGATCAGAGGATGTGAGAAGTCACACGAAGATTCATGCACTGTATGCAACAAAAATTTTCCTGTAGAAATATCATTTGAAATCAGACATGACGAATCACATGAGATCTTGATGGACGGATTTTTTTTTTTTTGAAAAAATTTCACATTATCACATAATATGAGAAGTCACACGAAGATTTTCAATTTTTTTTCAATTTTGAAGTTTTTCGAAATTGAAACGAAACGGAACAAAACTGTACAAAAAATGTCGCGAGGGCCTTGCATAAATTAATTACTTTTTACAATCTAATATGGCAGCTAAAATAAAATTATTCAGTATGAGGGATTAAATGGTGACTGCTATTATTACATTTATTATACGTGAACAAAAGTTATCGATGCATGTATAGCCACTCCCATCAAAATTAATACTTATATATGCGATCGTCCACCAATACCTAACACAAATGATTGGATGGTACCTGTTAGACTGTCTTCCGTAAAATTTTGTTTAGTAACTTCTATTTCATTTATTTCGACAGAGAATGAAAGCTGCTCTTCAGAGTTTTGGTTACGAGATTTCGGGACTCCACGATAAATATATAAATAAGGACTCTGTTTTTTAAACAAATTATGTTTTTATCAAATTTGTAACTGTGCGAGCTTGCGCGAAATCTGCTTTGAAATATCTATGGCCAATCTCTAGTATGAATAAATTGTTGTGTTTGACGATTGAATAAAAAATGTTGACGTTTCTTATAAGCAACCACTTAGTATACTAGTAAATTTGAATGTTTTTTTCAGAATTGGTAAGAAATCACTCTCATCAATATGCATTTCATCTGCTTTATCATTTTCTTCTTCCAATTGACTGACACTCAAACTATCGTAAGTTCATTTAAAGTTAAAGAATAAAGGATAGCACTGCAATACTTCTAAGGTTTCAGACTTTTAGCGCAGTTTGAAATTGATAACATCATATAATTTAAGGAGCCGCAAACAGAACCGTTAGATCTGTCAATGCCAAGAATAACTGAGGGACGGATTGGACCATCAGCTCTATCAGCGCCTTATGTGAGAGAGGAACAAATAGAATTCAACAAAATTGATCAGAATGACCCAAGTTCGTTGAACGCACCAATTCAAGAAGTGAGAAGGGAACAAACAAGTATAGGAAATATGGACCGAAGAAAATCTGGCGTGCGAGGT